TGCCGTCCGCGTCGCCGGTGCCGTTGTTCTTGGAGAGTGTGATGTCGCTGGCGGTGAAGCGCTTCCTCTTCTGGCCGACGTCCTGCGAAAGTGCCATGGCTGCCGGGTTCCTATGCCGTTTTACGGACGTCTCGGGCTGGGTGCAGGGCCGTGACTCGTGCCAGAGCTCTCACGTGTGCAGTCGGCTACGCCGTGCTGCTGCTGCGTATATACTCGGAACGGCATGTCGTGTCGTGTCACATCCGGCTTGATTGAGCAGGCGTGCATCAGTGCTCTTTTCTTTCAGACACTGGTGTTATAAGATGGCATCCGATGTTTAGCCGCCCACAGCTCGTGGAATGCGAATGGTAGCGCAATAGCACTCGCGAAACTGCAAGATGACATCGTGACCTCGTTTGGGATGCGAACCGACGAGGGCGTCGTGCTCACCTGAGTTGCCACACCTCTCTAGCAGACTTTCGTGCCACGAACGTGATTCGGTTGGATGCAGCCAAGGCACCGTACAGACGAAGCCAGGTGTTTCTCCATCTGGGGCCATACATATTGAAATTCAGCATGATCTCGCTGTAAGAGCCGACGCGCCCAAGAGCCCATCCTCCGTGGGCGTTCGTGCTTGTGCCGCGATGGGTCGTGAAGATGCAGTAGGTCGCTGACGTTGTCGGCCTGGATTCGGACTGTTCGTTATGCCTACATGTGCGACTTATCGTGTGCGTGTGTGTGTGTGTGCATGAGTCACATGCCTAGACGTCGCTGTCTCATGCAGCTTCGGGGCCGGTCTTCGTGCGTCGTGATGAGAAGGCAGAGGGTCAGCCTTTCGCCACGGCGTGGGATCTTTCCGTCGGGCCGCACGTGTTGGTAGTCGTAACTCCAGAGTATCATCGTCATGGCGAGCATGCTGTTGGGTTGGCTCAGGACTGCGGGGTCTCTCTCGAGCTGAGGCGCTTGCATGAGTCGCGTCTGAGAACGTTCCCAAGCCTTCCGAGCGAAGCTGCCGTCTGGGGCTAGGGAGCCGACTCCGATCAGGTCTCTTCAGGGAGCATGAAGACGTCACGCTTTTTCCTTCGCTTCCACGGGCATGCTGCTGGGGTGAGACTTGGGCTGCGGTACAAGCGAAACACCGTGCCAAGCCTGCTCCGTGAGTGGGTTCAAGGGCTGGATGATCTCGGACGTTTCTTTCTCTCCCCTGCTGTCGGCGCTGACACATCTGCATCCATCATGTCTGTGGCTGCGGTGGCAGACTGAACGGTGAAGGTTCTCGTGGTCTTTCCCGTCGCATCGTTGAGGTGACAGCGTCGCCCTTCAGCTGCCACAGTGCTGGGACAAGGACCTCCCCTAGCTCCGCCTCGAGGTGCGAGGCCAGACATAGTAGCCAGTCGCTGTCCGGCTCGCTGAGCTGCATGTGCCGCGAAAGTTGCCTGATGCCATGCGCGGTGTCGGTTCGTAACTCAGCCAGGCTCAGCGGCTGGGTCACTCCGAAGTCCACCGCTACTCGGCGGGCCTCGTCGATGAACTTTACCGTGACCTTCCGATACAGGCCGCCGGACGCAGGGCTTTGGGCTTTAGGGTTCTATGAGTCAGCTTTCAGGGTTTAGGGCACGTAGGGCTTTGGGTTTAGGATTCCAGACCTTTAGTTGCGGCTGTTGCATTGAGGGGCTCACAAAGTTGGCACTGCTAACCCTAACGTAGGGTCCTTTATAGTCCAGTCATAATAAGGACCCCCCCCCAAAAAAATCATATAGGTAGTTATAGTAAGGAACCCCGAGAATCATATAGGTTATGATCGTAAGAAACCCCCCAAATCATATAGGTAATTATAATAAGGAACCCCCCAAAATAATATTATAGGTAATTATTGAGGCTTCTATAGGAGCCTTCCTTTGCCATTGCCGGCTTCCTGGCGCCTTAGCCTTTTTGGAGGCTTTAGGATAGTCTCGGGGCCTGCCATGCAAGCCCAGGGTTTAGGGTTTAGGGTTTGTTTACCTTGTGTTTTTACTTGTGTGAGTGCCTCTTCAGACTAATTCAAAGCTTTTTTGTCCGAACCGGCCCAAGGCAAGAACAGTAGCCCTAAGCCCCAACCCCCACGTAAACCCTAAACCCCTAAACCCCAAAGACGAAACCAACGCTAAACCCAAAACCCCCCAAACTGCTAAAGCACCTACCCAAGACCTCGTCTTTACCGGCCTTGTCCTCGGTTCCGTACTTCTTGCAAGCCGTGGCGGTGTCGCCACCGCCAATGACCTGGGTCTGCGGTGTTTAAATCTTTTGGGGTTTAGGGAAGCAGGAACTTAGCACTCGTGGGGTGTAGGGCTTAGGGTTCGGTGTAGGGTTTAGGGCTTAGGGTTCGGATAAAGGGCTTAGGGCTTAGGGTTCGGTTTAGGGTTTAGGGGGTGTGGGAGAATTATCCGCTGCGGATTTTGTCAATTTGTACATCGTCTCAAACATTCTGAACTTACATCATTTGAGAGATGTTGTATTCGAAGCCCAGTTTGGTTTGTACGTAATTAAAGTTGTGCGACTTCGCCGGAGAACTCCCGGCAAAAACCCTGTCAACTCTCTACACGACCGGTCTCGAATGTTTAGACTAGACTTGCCAAGCACAGCCAGAGCATTCGCGCGAACCTTTCTGTACTAGAGGCCTCCCCAACTCTGAATCCTGCTCTGCACTAGATTTGACCCAAAGGCAAGTCAGAAGGGGCTTGTTTCAGGACAGCAGCGGCTCTTGGTTCAGACCACAAGCAGAATCTGCACAAAGGGACATGTGAGAAACTAAGCTCTTACATACGGTTGAACTCCAGGAGAACTGAAGTCCCATCAACTCTCGCTCACAAGCACGCGAGGAAATCCGACGTATCAGGTGAGTGGCAGTGATCACACCTGCTGCTGTACCCGCCACGACAGCATCCATCAGACTCTTGGTGCCTGGGCATGTTCTCGCTGTCTGTCGGCCTCTCTGTCTCGGTCGTTCTTTATCTGTCTCGGTAGAACTTGCAATGCTCATGCAAAAGGCCAGTACCGTTCGACGAGGGAACTGTTGCGAATGTAAGCTTTGGGCAGGTAGAAGGGAGTGACAGCAAGTGGCCTAAGCTTTCCTATCCACATCTGCAGCTGCTGTTACGACAGACAGGCAGGCAAACAAACCCCAGTGTAAAAAAACGGTTCGTTCTATGGGACTGGAAGCTTCACGTTGAGCGCGCTTCACGTTCTGGTTCAAGCACACTGTTACATGCACCCCTGGCAACCTGCTCGCAGAAATACAGACGGTGTGATCTTTCTGCTGTGGTGTCACCTTGGCAAGACCCCCAAGATGTGGGGTGCTTTGGCCAAGGATGCCAAATTTTGACATTGTGCCTTCGTACATTGCGCAGCACGCGCTGAAAGAAATGAGGCCAGTGTGGTTCTCCCAGACGTTTCACTGAGAAGCAAGCCTGTTGAGGGTGGACTCGGGGATCTAGGATGTCTCAGGATGATGATGATGATGATGATGATGATGATGGTAATGATGATGCCATCAAAGAAGCGGTCAGGCTCGTACCGCCGGGCCATCATGGACCGCTCGATTAGGAGCGTTTCGGTCGGGGTGCCGATCTCGAACTTCGACATCTCGAAGACGCCCATGGGGCCGTTCCAGATGATGGTCTTGGACTCCGCCACGGCCTCCGAGGGGCTCGGGAGTTGCGTGCAACCACTCGGGGAAGATCGAATCCGGTTCGCTCCGACGGCAACATGCACCATTCTAGCAACAGTCCACAGGCCATATGATACCTGCGGTTCCAAGCGATGGTGTGGCCCTAGTCTCTAGTGGTGGGAACCCAAGAGATTTTACGAGCCCCTGTGGTTGCCACCACTCTGGCAGAATCTGTTTTGTTCTGGCATCGGGACAGCGGCAACAAGAACGAGAATGGCTGACCGGACGGGAGAACCTCAGAGTATGCAGGGCCAGTATTAGGACAACAACATCAACAAACCTTGCTTGGCGAGATACCACACCCGAATGTGCAGCATGACCAAACCGTACAGTAAGTCCTTGCCGAAACGTGAAACCACTCAGCCACTAAGCCTCATGAAGCGAAGAGTTGCCTTCATGACTCAGCTTTCTTCAGGTTTTGAGGCCGGCCTACTTGGAGGTTCATGGGTAGTTATAACTAGGGTTATAAGTAGGGTAACTATAACTATAATAACCCATATTAGGGGACTTATAACCCCACTTAGAACTACCCATGAACCTCCAAGTATTGTCAGTCTGGAGTATCCGGGTCTCACGGCTTCCTGCTCAGCGTTTTAAGCCTCCGGTTTCATCAGCTCCAAACCTACACCCTAAACGGCCCTAAACCCTAAACCCCAAACCCTAAACCCAAAACTTAAACCCTAAACCCTAAACCCCACGAAAATGTCAGCTTCGACCTCCCCTCGCATCGCTGCAAGGTGAAACCCTCGAGCAAGGATCCTGCGTGGCAACCACCCCAAAGACCCGAGCTGGCTCCCCTACTTGGAGGTTCATGGGTAGTTATAAGTGGGGTTATAAATATAGTTACCCTACTTATAACCCTACTTACAACTCCCCATGAACCTCCAAGTAAATCCGAGTTAGCTTTCTGAATGCCCAAACTCGACAGAACCTCACCCTCACACCCCAAACCCCCTATTCTGTGAAGAATGGGGATTCTTCGGGTTGGCCTTGGCATTCAGCTCGATCGACTTGGGGCCGCAATCCAAGCCCATGAAGCCTCGGTTTGGGTTTCCAGACGTTGGGGCCCCACTGTTGAGGATTCAGGACTCGCAGTGACAGACCCCTCAGAAACCGCCCCTGTTTGGAACGCCTGCGCGCCACATCCCATCTGCACTGCTTCGGCGAGGGCAGAACTCCATGAAAGTGAGCCCCTTTCATTTTGAAGGAAGATGCAGGCAGCCCGTGGTCTCCCCTCGAAGCCCGACATGTTCACTGGTCGAGCCAGAAGCCTTCAAACAAGCCTGAAGGCCTGAGACCTTCAAGAATCCGGCAAGACCTGAACCCCTCGAGGGCAAACGCCGGCCGCCGCAAAGGCCTGCCCACTTCCCAAGCTCAGCTCGCGAAAACCCCAAGACCTACAACCCATCAGCCTTTCCGGCCCCAAACCCGGAGGGTTGATTTTGGCTTAGGAGCCATCCGGGATGCCAGTATCCTTGGTCACACCTGCGGTTCGAGCAGAGGGATGGGAGTTGGCAGCTGCGGGATACATGTTTCAGAATTTCAGCTTCAAGGACCCTGCGAGATTGACCAGCTGCCAGAAGGTCAGCTTGCCTTAGCTTGGAGTCCTCTGCTGGGAACTTACCTCTGGGTCTCTCTCTTTCTTTCACCAGGGCTGTGGTGGGGAGTTGCCTCTTCTATCGTCTCGCTCTCTCTTCGTCGGGAGCTGGTCAGGCTCGGCAGTTTCTGCGGGTACCAGCCCAACCCGCAGATCGATCGAATGCCGAAGCATGGCTGCTCGACTCGGACATGCCTGGTGATCTTCAGAAAGAGCCCTAATACTGGAAGCTTCGCGCACAACTGCAAAGGCCTATTCAAGAAACGAAGGCCGACTTCGGCGATTTGCAGCTTGCTTCAAGTCCTCATCACCCCTTGCCTCCGCCCATCCCCCTCCCCAGAAACTACGATCTCAAACTCTGCCTGGATGTGCACGAACCTAGTTTTTTGCATGTCGTTGGTATTCTCGCCGTGAACCGCGATATTCGTGGTGGTCAGGTAAATCGTGATAATGAGAGACAACATCGTCGTCGCCCTCCTCCTCCTCCTCCTCCTGCTCCTCCTCATCCTAAACCCTAAACCCTAAACCCTAAACCCTAAACCCTAAACCCTAAACCCTAGCCTCCTTGTTCACCACCAAGCCTCTTGAAAGCTGCCTTGACGACCTCTCACTCTCTGCACCACTCGTGTTACGGACCGAAGGATTGGGAGCAGATCCTGAGCCCGGCCGGAGAAACACAAGAGCTCTTGGAGTCTCCCCGAGACTCCAATGCCCCTTAATTAAGGAATATACCTTAGGGATCCTACTATAATTTAAGGTATATTCCTTATTGAGGGGTATTGGAGTCTCTGGGCTCTTTGGAGCTTCTAGCGCCACACTTGCTCCGGCCTTCCTTGATCTCGCCATCCTCGCCGAATTTCGAGGAGCAGGTGAAATCGACAGGGAGGATGATCTCCACGCCTGCAAACTGATCTACGAAAGATCTCCTGCAAAAAGTCATGTTTTGATTTTTTGCAAAAAATCAAAGCCTGCAAACTGATCTACGAAAGATCGGATAAAGATCCTCACCAGCACAAAAATCCGTGCATGGCTAGAGACTCAAGCCTTTCCTGCATCGAAGCTACGATCAAGAAAGAAAGAACAAGTTATGTAGGGGCCTTAATAAATAGTTACCGTATACTATTCTGGGGCTTCCTTATTATAAGTATAGTATGCTCTACCCCAAAACTCTATTCTGGTTAATGAGGCCCCCATATTAGCCTCTGAAGGATTTTTTTTGCTTGATAACGGGCCGACCTAAGGCGACCTAGGACCTCTACCGATCCGCCTCCCCAAAAAAAAACCTCCAAAAGAATCCGCAGCCCAAAAGACTGAAGCACCCGAAGTTGGAGCCCTACTTGGAGGTTCAGGGGTAGTTCTAAGTGGGGTTACAAGTCCCCTAATATGGGTTATAATTATAGTTACCCTACTTATAACCCTACTTATAACTGCCCATGCCCTAAACCCTAAACCCTAAACCCTAAACAACCTCCAAGTAAGCCACAGAAACCCTAGCTCGGCCAGGGCACCGAGCTTCTCCGCCTTGGCCAGGATCTCAGGAACGATCTTGGCCCCTGGAGTTCTGGCTTGGTTGGGGATGTACGGGTTTGGGGTTTAGGGTTTAGGGGGGGGGTTTTGGGGTTTGGGGGTTTAGGGGGTTTAGGGGTTTAGGGTGGGTTTAGGGGTTTAGGGGGCTAGGGTTTTGGGGTTTGGGGGTTTAGGGTTTGGGGATTTACGGGTTTGGGGCATCCGGGGGCTTCGAAAACTCTTCGCGTCCTCCCCATCTCACCGTGAGCATTGGAGGGATAACGGCCCATGGACGGCTGACTTGGATCAAAATATGATAGATATGATAAATGTTATAAGTACTTTAAGTATGATAAAAACAGGCTCGGTCAGGTACAGGAATTGAACCAATAAATATGATCAATATGATAAACATTGATCCTCAGGCCTTCCTCATCGTAGAGCGAGGTTCCAATCGCCATGCTGTCCTTGATCTTCAGGAAGGTGTAGGCCATGCCACCGCCGATGATCATCTTGTTCACCTCTTGTGGTACAGTCTCGGGGTTTCCGGGTCGGAGGGAATGGGGCGTGCGAAAAATCTGAAGCTGACTCACAGATGCCCCTGTTCCGTTTCGTAGGCAGGGTTGAAAGCTTCGGACGCACACTGCTGGCAGCCGTTTGGATTCAGCGTGGCAGGTGCCGCCGCGTAACCTTGTCCAACATGTTCATGATGAGCTGGATCTTGTCGCTGACCTTTTCGCATAGGAGCCGTCTGCCCCCAAGCCTAACCACTAGGCGATCGTAGAGTCGCCGTCATAGTTCGTTTCTTGGGGTTACCTTATAGGAACTGAAACGTAGAACTGGTTAAGCCAAACAAGGAACTACGATGGAGAATGGAGACTAAGGAGACTATAGGTAGTCCCAGGCCTTCAGGGCTGCACAAGGGTGGACTTCAAGGGTGTGCAGCTGGGGTCCGAAGTCAGGTCCAGATTTCTCGACCGATACTTCGATTGGGAGGGACAGCTGTGCAGAGTCTGTAGGCATAGAGATGCCGTAGGTTTGAATGGCACCAAGTGTGGATGTGATGCAACAAATGAAGACTTCACAGTCGTAGTTAGTAGCGGTAGTTGTCGTCGTCGACGTCGTGACAGTAGTCGTCCTCGTCCTCGACGTGGTCGAAACAGCAACCCTACTGGCAGCTAGCTGCCTGCTTCTACTACAACTACCACGACATCCTGACGAGGACGACGAAGCGGAATGATCACGGCTTCCAGCTTCGAGGAATCCTAGGGCCTAAGCTCCGCACCTTTGCCCCACCAAGGATGGCCAGCACTGGCTTCGCCGGGCCGTCCAGGACCTTGGCGAAGGCCTCCAGCTCCTTTCCATGCAGGCGGGTTGAGTGTTCGAAACTCCAAGCATGCCCTTGGAAGCAGGATGCAGCAAATTACAAGAAGCACCAAAAGTAGTGACCGCAAACAGAAAAATGGCTGGTGAAGGAGAGTTTGGTCTTTTGGTAATCGTGGTGGTGGCGCTCGTGGTGGTGGTGGTGGTGGTGGTGCTGCTGCTGCTGGTCGTCATGGTTGTTGCAGCAGCGCTACGAGTGCCAGTGCTAGCGGTGCATTAGCAGCAGTTCAGCAGGAGGAGGAGTAGTAGTAGTAGTAGTAGTAGCAGTTGCAGCAGCAAGTAGTTGTTGTTGTAGCAGTAGTAGCAGTAGTAGGGGTGGTGGTGGTGGTGGTGCTATGGCCCACTTGAAGAGCTGCTGTGTATATGTACAGAACACTTGCTGCGTATTGGTCACCGTCATTAGGGGCAGCTTCGTCGTCGTCGTCGTCGCTGCGTTCGTAGTCGAGGCTATTAGCGTCACTTTCTGCGTCACGGCCGCCGCTGTTCTGACCCGATCTTATGGATCGTGGTGTAACATCAAGCACTATTCATTGCCGTAGCATTCAACAGTTCCAACGAGCTATCATGCCAATGGTGCGCACAACGAATCGTAGTGCCAATAACTGCATTGCCTGTATCGGCAGCAACGACGCTGCACGGCAGTACTAAGAAAAGCTACATGCACCAAGATAGAGACATGACAATCGTGATATCTGCAATAACGACGGAAAACCGAAGACAACACCAACATACACCAACGAGGTTGCTCAAAAACAAATCACCGGGGGCAGCAGTACTACAAGCAGCTGCGGTAGCAATACAAAGACCAAGTAGTTGTGTAAGAGCAATCGCAAATGCGGGGGTGGGGTAGTCTTCAAAGATCCTGAACCCAGATGCAACTTTACTGGTTCCCTGTTGGGGCTATATTAAAAATGATCATTTTTAATCCTTATTGGGTTTTCTTATAACAAAAATGTAAAATTGTATCCAACAAGGACCCAGTTTAGAGATCCCGGAAGCCGAAGCTGCTTGCTGTCCTTGCCCATGAGGTCGCCGGCGCACTTCACATCGAAACCCTCTCCCACCATGGAGCTGTGAGCGCGGTGCGCCGTTCCGAAGGCATCGTTGCAGTAGATGTCTGCCAGTTTCCTGCCGGTCAGATGTCATGAAAGGGGACGAACAGCCAGAATAGTCCTAGTCATAGTAGCCACAGTGATCGCAATAATTTTGGTACACTGCTTACTGAAGTTCCAGTATGGGGGTTTCCGAAAATAGGGGACCCTAATATAGCATCCTTAATAATAGGATCCTTATTATAAGGACCCCAAATAAGGTACTCCTAATTTTCGGAAAGTCCCGTATGATGCTATCACCTCGACCTCAAGGGCTGGCGAAGCCAAGACATCGACGAGATCATGGCCGACAGAGTCGCCGTGGCCGAGTCGGGGTGTCACTTTTCCCATCCTAGCTTTCATAACCCTAAACCCTAAATCTGAAACCCTAAAGCCGAAGTATGGCAAGACACTGGGCCAGCCTTTAGGCCGAGTGCTCAACTAGAACTCGGAACATCGAACTCAGAAAGGCCGTGCCTAAAGCCTTCCTTTGGAGAGGATGTAGCGATTTAGTCCGTTTGTGGCTGCAACGGGACCCACATCCTGGACAACGTTCCGAAATGACACGAGTGGGAGTCAGTACACGAGGCACATGACAAAGCGCAGCCAATTGGTGCAAGAGTCTGCGAAACAATGTTGGCATGCCCTTCCCCAGATGGCAAACACATAAACTGAAGCTGCAGGTCCTGATGGATGCCCGGAAGGCTGTGACCTTGTCCTTCTCGGCCTTGATCTTGTTGCCCTGGCGGCAAGCTGGATCCAAGAAACGATGATCTGCTGCTTGCTCGAAGAGTTTGGGTTGCAAGGCTCAGCCTGTGGAGGAAATCTTCGTCTTCTTAATGTAGGGGCCTGAATAATTAGAATAGGCTTTTGGGGCCCATTATACTATATTTAGAATAAGGAACCCCCAAAGTAACATAGGTAAGTATTTATTAAGGCCCCGACACTACGCAGGTGTGGGCACAGCATCTGCGGGTGCTGCGAGGCCCAAGATCCCGAGGCGAAGCTCGGAGAGTTCTTCTCCACATACTCTACTTGGAGGTTCATGGGTAGTTATAAGTAGGGTTATAAGTAGGGTAACTATAAATATAACCCATATTAGGAGACTTATAACCCCACTTATAACTACCCATGAACCTCCAAGTAGGGGCCCAAACAATTACCTATACGATTTTGGGGGGTATTCGTTATCATAAATATGGTATCGTGGGCCCCCCAAAGCCCTCTTCTAATTATTCAGGCCCGTATATTACGAGGCACACCACAACCCTTTCATTAGAAATACCGGTTCCCACAGTCATAGCGCATACAGCATCACTGCTACTGTCACTCCGGTTTCCTCGTGGACGACGATGACGAGGACGCTACCGATCGCATGACGGTGATAACATCAAAACAACACTCAATCTGTCCGTCACTATGGCGATGATGATGATGATGGTGATGATGATGATGCTGATGATGATGATGATGATGATGACAACGATGGTGCTGCTGAGCATGATGGCGATGCTCATCATGATAACCAGGAAGAAGCTGACGATCATGGCGACGATGAACCATGACGATGAGTGGTGATGATGAGGAGATGGTGATGACCGTGATAGTCATGAGCAACATGACGATGTTGCCGATCATGGTGACGGAGATGTGCTTGATGATGCTGGGTGATCTGCATTCTGAACAGAACCGCCTCCGGGTCGACTCCCTTACCCTCCTCTTCGACGTGGAAGCGCAGGTTCCTCGGTGAATGACCCGAGGCTGCAGCGTGGATTTCAGTCTTGTGAGGATTTTTGGAGAGTTCAGAGAGTCCAGCATTGTCAGCCTCGTTCCTGAGCTCTAGAATCGTCGTCGCCGTAATAGATGTAGTAGCGGCAATAGTAGTAATGGCAGCAGCAGCAGTAGTGGTAGTAGTGGTAGTAGTAGTAGTAGTAGTAGTAGTAGCAGCAGTAGCAGTAGCAGTAGCAGTAGCAAGAGCAGTGCCAGTACCAGTACCAGTACCAGCACTAGCAGCAGTCGCAGAAAGCGAAAGTGTAGCAGTGGTACTAGTCTTGTTGTTGTGGTCGTCGTTGCAGTAGCAGTAGCAGTAGCAGTAGCAGTAGAAGTAGCAGTAGCAGTAGCAGTAGCAGTAGCAGGACCAGTAGCAGTAGCAGTAGCAGTAGTAGTAGTAGTAGTAGTAGTAGCAGTAGCAGTAGCAGTAGCAGTAGCAGTAGTAGTAGTAGTAGGAGTAGTAGTAGTAGTAGCTGCAGTAGTAGCAGCAGGAGCAGTAATTAGTAGTGGTCGTCGTCGTAGCAGTCGTCGTCGTTGCAGCAGCAGCAGCAGCAGCAGCAGCAGCAGTAGCGCAAACTGCTAACCATACGACACTGATACAAGTTAAAGATGCAGCGCAAAACATGTCGCAGAGCCATATGCAGGCTTCTCATACTCATCAGCAGGTCCTTGGAGCAATTGAGCTTCTTCGTGCAGAACATGGGGAACTTCTTGCAGTCCACTGCACTCCTGGAGGCGTTTGTGTCTGTGTGCGCGTTTAAATGTGTGTGTGTGTGTCTACGTATATATATATATATATGTATATATATATGTGTGTGTGTTATAACACAAATGCATGTTTACTTCTAGATGGATAGATAGATAGAAAGATAGATGAATAGATAGACGGACAGATAGATAGATCAATAGATCGATAGATCGATACGTATTATAGATAGATAGATAGATAGATAGATAGATATATAGATAGATAGATAGATAGATATATAGATAGATAGATAGATAGATAGATAGATAGACAGATAAACAGACCGGTAGATAGGTAGCTAGGCAGATAGATAGGTAGGACGATAGAGTAGATGGCTAGATATGTATACATGTATGTGTATGTGTATGTATGTGTATGTATGTATGTATGGATGTATGTGCGCATATGTATACCTATACACATAAATATGTGTGTGTGTGTGTTGCATAAGTATAGACATATGTAGATATAGTGATGTAGCTGTACACAGATACATAAAAGCCGAGACATCGAGATATAGATACATAGCTATATACAGATATACAGATGTATAGGTCTACGGAGGTCTACATATACGTGGATACGTGCATATATATATATAATATACATACTCGTGTGTGTGTGTGTATGTGTATATGTATATACATGTATGTGTATATGTGCATCTCTATGTAAATGTATGTATGTATGTATGTATGTATGTATGTATGTATGTATGTATGTATGTATATATATATATGTATATGCTTCTGTATACATATGTATATAAATATAGGTGCATGTGTGTGTGCATATGTGTTTACAACTATCTATCTGTATTTATATATATATGTTATTTCATTATATCAACAAGATCATACCAAATTATACTACATTGCAGTATATTATGTTATACTGTATTATGTTACCTTTTTCCTTTCTCATCTTACCTTATGTTACATTATCAGATTGTACATTATCTTATATTATATCATATCTGATTCTGTGACCCTATGTTGTACTATATTATGCTATATAGAATTAGTTGTTGAAGTGCGTAATCTGTGTACACAAATCTGCCGAGCATCCCCTCGCCCTCCCAAGTCGGAGGCTGCTGAAGTTGCAGAACACGACTCACAACGTGCTGCACTGCCTTAGCCACCAAGGTCTGAACCCCCCGACTTCATCCGACTTCCCCGTTGCTCGTCATGGCACAGTACCGGCACCAAGACTGAATAAGGACCCACAGTCACAAAGTTATCAGCCAAGCCTTGCGATGAAAGAAACCGACTGACTTACGAAGCTGCGTCACACAATGTGCTCTTGCTTCTTCACCTATGTTCCAGTTGCAGCAAGAGAGAAAAACATTCGCCAACCGCACGAACCCCAACAGAATTCTGTCCGATGCTTTCGAACTTTAGGAATAACTTTAGGCACTCCCCGGTGCGGCAGCATTCAGCTGCGATCCTTCGTCCCCAGACAAGAAAGCAATACAACGACGCACCCTCCACGAATTTCAAAACGCTGTGAAGACACCTGTTCGTCACTGTGAAGGCCTCTCGCAATCAGCATCTCCTCGTTCGTTGCTCATGCATCTGCATCGGCAAGAAGAACAGAGACTGCTTGCAAAGCCGAGGTTCTTCGTCAGATTCTTCTGTCACTTCGACTTGCGCCCCCGCATGATAGCTCTCACCGGCCTTGACATCTGATCGCAAGCATGAGAGAAGCTCTTTGCCGATGGTAGGGCTCCGGCTTTGATGCTGCGGACGCCAGTTTGTAGAAGTTCCTAGAGCAACTCAGAAAGCTACTGAGGGTTTCTTGGGTGCCAAAGCTCCTGAGCTGAAGTTTTGTCCCTCACTTGGGTAGTTTTCAAAATTAGGGTCCCTTTTAGGGTCCGTTTTAATAAGGGTGCCGTACTATATTGGGGACCTAAAAAGGAACCAAAATTTGGAGAACTACCCACTTGGTCATCGTCAGAGGATCCAGACGCCGGAGATGCTAGTGTTCTACGGCGTGATGGCGGACGATGGTGATGGTGACACTATTTGATTGTGGTCATGGAGAAGACGAGCATTATTTGTTCAATGCCGTAAGAGTGCGTCTCGAGCGATCTTTTGGATCAGTCTCTGTGGGCTTTTTTGCGTTCCCTGGAGATCTGTCCTGGCGCATCACCTGAAGCTCTGCCTCCTCATGCATCTCCACTTCTTCTTCGGCCATGGAGTTCCTGCATTCGGAGGCATCATCGCCTCGTACGCCTCAGAGAACAAGAGGGGACTCCCTCAGCATTTGAGCCAGCACAGCTATCCCTGCGTGGCAGTCTGAGTCCCGAGGCCGTGGAAAGCAAGGACTGCGGCTGCGAGGAAAGCTGGTGTGCGCATGCTCCGGCACGTCATGTCCGGGAAAATGCGGGTATTTATGAGCCCGCACTCAGACATGCACTTATGCAACATTGACGCCATGTAGCATTATGTGTTCTGCGTGCCGCATTGCACTCTGCATGCATAATTAAGTCTCTAGAATGGGCCCCGATGCCGAGGAAACGCATCCTCTGTGGAGGTGATGCCGCGAGCAGCTTGTGCCGTGGATCTTCGGTCACTGCCGCTGCTGCAGCTCGAGCAACGTTAGCGGCAGTCGCTCAGAGTTACGACAGCGGTGGAAGCCGCTAAGCGATCTGGACAATTACGAACGACCAGTTTTGATGCCATTAGATCTTGATCTGTTGACTGTCAACTACAAATGCAGTCACTAGCTTAGGAAGTAATTAAGGTTTAGCGGGTTGTTGTTTAGGCTGTCGCTGCTACTGTTTTGCATTTGATGAGAATGGGCACGAGGATTGCAGCACAGCGGAATTCTTCCCTGGCTGCAAAAGGGCAAAAGGACCGCAAGTTTGATGGTCGCGCTGACCAATCCTGCTGGGGAGGCAGACATACATTAAACAACGCAGTCAAGCTTGTGTTCCTGAGAAAGGCCAGTTTTGCTACGTTTGTCTGCGTTATCTCCAAATGCCTCTTCAAACTAGGAACCAGTCTAGGGCAATGTGGGGCTGCGTGGGCTTGCTTACAAGAACGGGCAAGTAGCATCCTCTGCTGAAGGGAATGTCGGGATGGTCCACGAAAGCCCCTCTATGCAAGCGGGCGCAGCTGCGTATAGAGTGAACACAAGCCCTCATGGCTCAACCTTGAAACAGATCATCGACTGCTATGGGAAAAAGCCTGCTACACAAAACTTTTAAAAGACCCGCCTGCCTCGCAGGCGGGCTGGCTTCGAATTCGCTGACCTCCTCGACAGGCCTTAGGCCTCCAACTTCTCGAAACCTCCAAGACATGCCTCTCAATAGGCTCTTCGTGCTCTTCTCTCTTATGAAAGGTGTAAGTCGTAAGCACAATTGGGATTAGTCTAAACCCTAAACCCTAAACCCTAGACCCTAAACCCTAAACCCTAAACCCTATTAGTAGCCCTCCTGCTGCTGGTGCTTCTGCCTGTGCAAACTCAGGGCTGCCATGAGCCTGCAATCGGTGCAGAGACTCTTGGAACAGGTTCCTCAGAGAACCCTATACCCCTTAATTAAGGAATATACCCCTAAATTATAGGGGCCTTAAGATTATGATTTAAGGCATGTTCCTCAATTAAGGGGTATTGGGTTCTCTGGGTCTTCCACGCCTGATGACAGGTATCGATCTTTCCCTCTTACTGTTGGTACGTGTGTGCGTGAGAGGGACAGAGACAGGCAGAGAGAGCTGCAAGCCATAAGTCCACGCACGCAGGCGGCTGGGAATGGCTGGAGGACCCCAGCGTGACATTTTTAATAAGTCAACATGGGGATGCCTTTTAGGTGCATTCAGAGATCCGAAACCATCGAAACCTGGGATAAACATGCATTCTATAAACTTTAGTGTTGGTCTCGCAGCAACATACGGTGATGTGATGGCATAAAGCTTGCTGCCTGGACAATCTTGGCAAATGTGTCCCGCATTGCAATCAATGGCTGCAACCATTGCATGCTCCCCACTGGATGAGTCGGCAGCATGTCCAAGTCGTCGGGGCTAGAACACTGGATTCATTTTAGGGTTTAGGGTTTAGGGTTTAGGGTTCTCGTTCTCGGAGCTTTGCAGTGAGAACAGTGATAGCCTCGATGTGACCACATGACAACATCGCGAGCATTACTCATCCTTCGTGTGCTCCTTGCTGGCGGTGGTCTAACAGTTCCCACAGCCATTGGCAGAGCTTCACACCTGCTGCCTTCGATTAAGACCTGTGGTCTGAAGCATGCACGCAATCCTTACACTCAAGCACCGCACGCAGAAAGCGCTGAACTTCCCTGCCACTGCCTGTTGGGCGCAAAGCTGCCCGTCAGGAGCGTGCCGGGCAGCATGTCGGGATTTTCCTTCTACCCACAGCTAAGTAGCCAAAAAAGTCAAGCAGTCTGCAGACTGATGAATATCCCTCTGCACCTCGTCAGAGCTGTCACCAGGTCGGGGCAAGAAGCAGAGGTAGTCCGGAATACCGTCACCTGTGAGCCAGTGCACTGCCAAGGCTCCGCGCGCCTACAAGGTAGGCAAAAGCTGTCTCGACCCTGCAAGCTGGGCGGCACCGTCTCCATCAGCCGCCATCATGCGCAGGAGGCTTTCCTGGCATCGCATTGCTTTGCTAACACAACAAAAAAAGAAAAGCAAAAGAACTTGTGTGCTTGAGCGTGCTTTCTGCATGGCATGTTGAAGCCAAGCGACAGCCAATTCCATCATTGGAGTCTCTGCGCTTTCGCTGATCGCAACGCATCTACACCCAGCTTAGACATTTTACAGCAGATGTAACGGTGCGCACATGCTTCTGCCGCCGCATCTCCAGAGCGTAGCAGTAGATGATGGTATCGAACACCTGAAGCTCCAGAGGTTCGGCAAAAAGCTGTAAGCCACTTGTTGGTGTGTGGACGTAGCGAATCTCCGAGCAGCCCCTGCCCTTGCTCCCTGTGATGGAAGAATCTAAGCCTGCCACTGTGTCAAAGACCAGCATGATGCTTCGGCCTTATCTCATGCACATGTTCATAGCTCGGATCACTAGGCCCATGTCCTCGAAGCACAATCCTGCAGCTTTGTCAGAGGACCAAAACCATACTTACGGGGCCATGTACTTGGATCATGTTGGATCTGCAGGTAGCTCGGCCTGGCCTTATGGGTCCGATAGCACTGTTACACAGCAGATCAGAGAAATGTCATGGGGTTAGAGGAACCATCTGAGAAGCTATGGCGATTACTGCGGTAGGGGTCAGCCGAATGTTTGCTATTTCCACGTAAACCTGGACCTCCACCGGAACTCTACAACTCGGAATCCCCCATCACAGGGTCTGCGAAAGCGTCCTGAAGGCCTAAAGCCACCCCTAACCCTAAAGCCCTAAACCCTAAACCCTAAATGGTTCCCTTGAGAGGCCCTTTTGAGGCCAAGATGCCAATGAGCAGCCCGACCAAGCCCGTAGAGATGAAAACCTGGGAGAGGGGAGTTCCAGGGAGTTCGGTGCTTAAAACGGGGGAAGTGGGGCTCCTTTAAAGGGTTCCTTAAAGGGTTCTATAAGGGCTCCTTTAAAGGGTTCCTTAAGGGGTTCTGTAAGGGCTCCTTTAAGGGGTTCCTTAAAGGGTTCTATGAGGGCTATTAGAAGGGTTTCGGGCTTAGGGGCCTTGACAATCAGAATAGGGTTTCGGGGTATATCGTACTATAATTATCATAAGGAACCCCCAAAATAGTATCGGTAATTATTTAGGCCCCTATACTACCGGTTAGGCTGGTTAGGGTTTAGGGTCGAATCCCCCCTACCCTTGCATTCGAGCATACCTAGAATGATTGCGGGGAAAGCAAGCAGGAGCCCTTTGAGTTGCCAACGCCGCGGCGACCAAGTTTCTTCAACCCTGATGATGCTTTCGAGACATCTGAAATATAGGGGCCTGAATAATTGGAATAGGGTTTGGAGGTATATTATACTATAAATAGAACAAGGAAGCCCCAAAATAGTATAGGTATTTATTAAGGCCTCTATATATTAGGACTTCGACATCGGCTTTGCCACCTCGTCACACGGGGCTGTTTCGAGGCGATCAGATGGCGAATTCTTTGCCACTGTCTGCTCGAAAAGTTTGAGCTCCAACAAAACGCCCTCCACCAAGGACCTCCAAAGGTAACATGGGAGCGTCAGAAAGAAGGGACCCTTCTATCTTATGGACCTTGCAAAAAAGGACTTTCAGACCCGCCACCCCTAAGCAGAAGGATCCTTAACCCGAAACCCATAAACCTCTAAACCCTACACCTCTAAACCTAAACCCCAAACCTCTAAACCCCGAAAACCCCTAAACGCCTAAACCCTAATATGTTCAACAAATCCCCCTCCGGGCTCTCTGCGGTGCTCGTGTCCCAGATGAACAGGTCACTGCTGGGATCCGAGAAACTTGGGACCTGAGCCAGAGCTTGGGTTCTTGGTTTAGGGTTTAGGGTCTAGGGTTTAGTTTTAGGGTTGAGGGTTTTAGGGCTTTAGGGTTTAGGGTTGCAGGGTTTAAGGCTTAGGGTTTTAGGGTTTAGGGCTTAGGGCTTTAGGGTTTAGGATTCAGGGTGAGGTTGCGAGTGTCAGGGTCTCTCTAGGTCCTCGGGTTTGGGCGTTCGGCTTCGGTTGGCTTTTTTGTTTTTTTGAACGCCTTTTTCCGTCAGCAATCCGCGTCCAGAACCCGCTCCAGGCAGGAGGCATGTACCCCTAAAGCTTCGGGGGCTTGTGGTGTAGGGTTTACTTGGAGGTTCATGGGCAGCTACAAGTGGAGTTATAAGTCCCGCAATATAGGTTATAACTATAGTTACCCCTACCTATAACTACCCATGAACCTCCCAGTAGAGCTGAAACCCTGTGGGTCCCAGGGGTTCGGTGCTTCTCTTACCGTGCTTACAGGATGTGCTCACATGTCTATCATTGCTCTTGTTCCTACTACTGCTACTGCTACTTTTAGTCATCGCATCTCACTACTATGACTACAGTACTTCTAGGTTTAGATGCCACTACGACTGCAACTGATTGTGATCAGTATTTGTGCAGGGCAAGGCTCTTGAGTCTTCAGGAGCCGTTGTAGGAGGCCCTGAATCTGAAACTCAAACAATCCTCAACCTCCAAACTGCAATATAGGGGCCTTAATGATTAGAATAGGGCTTTGGGGTCCTCTATAGTAAGTATAATTACAATAAAGAACCCCCAAAATACTATTGGTAATGAAGGAGGCTCCTATATTAAACCTAAACAATCAGTCCTCTCGCGAAACCTGTGATGGCTCCCAGCTTAGCCTTCTTGTAGGCGGGGTCATCGGCTCTTGTTGTGCGTGGGGCTATACGGTTATACAGGAATGCATACAGCGTTGCATGCGGGTGTTACAGAGTTTAGAATTTAGGGGTGCGGGCGCGTCCAAAGACCTGTTCTAGTGTCCGAGGCTGAGCAAGAACGCTCGTTTTTTCGAATCAGGCTCACTACAGCATGGCAATAACGGGGTACTCCTTGTAGTCCTAGATGGATGGATAGATAGATTGATTGACTAATGGATTAGACAGACAGATAGATACATCGATAGATCGCTAGCTAGCTAGATAGATAGATCGATCGACAGATAAAAAAGTTGCAGGGGAACTTACCCCCGACCCCTGCGAGGTTAAGGACATGGGTCTCGGCATGCGATCCCGTCTTTCCGGAATGTCCTGGATGAAGCGGATCATCTGAGGGCCCAGTGGTTCAACCTACTCTTGTAGGCGGTGTACTGCTGCAGCTATAATTCTGAGAAAGAGAAAACGACAACAAATAGATGGATGACGCACGTCAATCCGACAGCTGAACGCAACGCACGTTCGTTGCAGGCTCAGCGTACCTATACATTTCAGGACTAACCCTCGTGGCAGGGATTGGGCCTTTGGCTTATCGAGATAGCTCGCAAGGGCCCAGGCCACGTCTATGATGCCATTGACGGAGTAGGCCGCACCTGGCATCGGGTTTCAGACTCTCAAGGCAACCGCTCCATGGAGCCGCCACAAGGCTGGGCATAGGTCTGCCAGGAGCAGGGTTTAGGGTTTAGGGTTATATGGGACTTTCAGAAAATTAGGGTACCTCATTTTGGGGTCCTTATAATAGGGATCCCATTATTTAGGGTACTATATTAGGGTCCCCTATTTTCGGAAATCCCCATATACCGTATACCTACAAGTTCTAACTCATAAGCAGCGGCCATAGGCTCTCATGCAGCAAGCCAAACGAACTTTCGCCAAAACCAGATCAAAGAGAACGCTGGTCTCCCTAATATCGGGGACTTAGTACTTGAGGATGTTGGATAGAATATAGTAGATCTGTTACATTTACTAAGGATCCCTACGAAACAACAATGATGAGCACATTGACTATTCAGGCTTCCACATTAAACCTGTTGAAACGTTCGGTCGACTCCTAAATATAGGAGCCTTAGTGACTAGAATACGGGTTTTTCGTGATATTGGTAGAAAAAATTACGAAGTGTAAGGGGACACGGGGGACGCCCCTGTATCGCCAATCTCTCAATGGTTCAACCCCAACCTCAAACGCCGGAACGGCCAGAGCCCCAAACCACCAACAGCCCCGAGCCCAAACACCCTGAACCCTAAGCCCCACCATCCAGAGCCCTGGAGCAGATGGAACCGGTGCAAAGCCCTTGGAACTTTTGTGATTCATACAGGGGCCTTGACCATTAGATTAGAGGTTTGGGGTACTTCATGCTATAATGAGCGTAAGGTGCACATAAGGAACCCACAACAGTATTAGTAACTTTTCAGGCTTCGAAAACGTTCTACAACCCAAACAACATATTCGGAGGCCCTGGGCGAGCCGGGATCCGCATGCCTACTGTGCAAACGCCGACTCCGGCCAGGTGAAAAATCCAAAGGGCCTTGGCCATTCGGGGCTGTGGGCTGGAGGGTTTCAGGCTGTTGAGGAGTTTGAAGGGGTCCGGGGAGCTTTATAGCTCAGGCTTTTAGGGTTCAAGGGTTCAAGGCTTGGGGAGTTTAGCTCTTGAACGCTTTAGAGGTGTAGTCTTGGCTAAATGTGTTGCGGGACTTTTCCGGCACTGGGGGTCTGCGACGGTCTTCTTCTTGGGCTTGTGGGGCTACTTCTAAGACTCTAGACTCATGACTTAAGGTCTCAGGTTTACCGCTCACCTCAAAGGCGGCCTACTAGTGGCAGTCTGCGCATCCGCTCTGAAATAGCAAGCGTTCTGGCTTGGAAGCGCCGAGGAGACACAGAACAGGTGCCGCTTGCAGAACAAGGAGAAGCAAAGTCATCGAAGGCCCTTTGGAACCCTAAACCCTAGCCCTTAGACCCTAAACCCTGCACCCTAAGCCCTAAACCCGAAACCCTAAGCCCTAAGCCTCAAACCCAAAGCCCTGAGAGCCCTAAACCCTAAACCCTAAACCTTAAGCCCTGAGAAATCGAAGGCCCTTTGGGCCGCAAGAGGCGACATCCTCAGGCGGAAGCCCCCTGGAGTCGGTGTACATTTGCAATCTCGCCCGACAGCACCTTCGGAAGTGCGAAGATCTTTGGGGCTTAGAGCACCTTTGTTAAGAGTTTAGGGTACCTTTCTTTGGGGTTGAGGGTACCTTTCTTTAGAGTTTAGGGCACCTTTCTTTGGGGTTTAGGGTACCTTTCTGAAGGGTTGAGGGTACCTTTCTTAAGGGTTTAGGGTACCTTGCTTAGGGGTTTATGCTTTCTTAAGGGTTTAGGGTGCCTTTATAGCAAAGACTTCATGTAGACCCTTGATTGCTACACCCCAACTACCTCAAACAGGGATCAATAATAATGAAGATCCTACCAATCAGGCGTCTGCAGTAGGCCTTCAAAGGGAGTCTATATAGGTATTTTAGGCTCGCAGTATGTACGATTTGGGCACATGGGCCCTTAAGGAGAGTCAACATGAAGAAGAACGCCTCCCCTAGCGTCACCTGTTGGCACGCGCTGTTTCCGATGAAACCTGAAATCCTACAACTCTACCTAGGCCCCTACGAACCTCCCAAACTCTGGTACCTAGTTTTTTTGAGGTATACATGGGAGGCACGGTCTTCTGCTCGGCGCTGACAATGTCCTTATGGTACCTCTAGCAAAGACGAGCATAAAGCCCCACTACCCTGAAACCTCAACCCATCCCAAACAAAAAACAAACAAAACCTTAGGAACCCCAAACGCCTCAAAGCTTGCACTGAAAACCCGGAAAGAAAATCTTCTTTCAAGGCCTAAGGCGGCCCTACAAAGAAGAATTCCCATTAATCTCCCTTGCACTCCCTAAGCCCCATATACAAACAGAGGTACAGTAGCATCCTTTGTTAACCCTTAAACCCTCAGCCCTTAGAAAAAAAACCGAAACCCTAAACCCCTAA